AGATTAATGACGTCAATAAGAATGAAAAGGGAGAAAGAGGCTCTAGAGGAGAGAGAAAAGGAATTTTAAAAAGGAACAAGGTATATCATATACATGTACCAATTTCCCAAGAAGACTGTAAAATGTGTGTACTGCAAACTTGTACTAGTAAAACAAAATGAAATAAATTATGGATGAGTTGGATCCAAGTTAAAAAAAAAAACTAATTAAAGGGAAAAAGCTACAGACACCAAAGAAATAGAACCTCTTCATCATTCCAGTGATTTAAAAGCATCCTTTAAGGTCCGAAATATGTGAAAATAGCAGAATAAAATTAATCATTACATATTTTGTGTAACACAACATTGAGGTCAGAAACCACTATTATTCACACAATTTTTTCTTTTGATCTTATCAGAATCACAATAAAAGGTATGAGACATTTTAAAATTGGAGAGGCCAAAAGAATAATACAAGAGAATTTACAAAACTGCTGACTTGAGGACTCCATAAAGGTATTTCAATTCCCGGTTAATCCTTGGGTAGAGAAGAATTCCGAAGTCTGGAGCTCATGTCTGAGAAACTTGCCTTGAATTTAACCTGTCATGGACAGACAGCTGTTATAACTAAGTGAATGTGAGTAGTTTCCCCTGTCTCCCTAAAGTCCCAATTCACAAAAGGTCTTAAAGAATTAAGATTTCAGGGCAAGTTATCACAGAATCATTGACTAATTCAAGGTGGGACGCTAACATACTGATACATTTCAGGAACATGTGTCCCAGTATTCCATATGGATAAGAGAAAATAACACAGTGCTCAGCATTACTTCACAATGGTAAGTTCATTTAGAATCTGTGTTTAGCCCGCAAAGAAAAAGTTAGAAAAATAAAAATGGAAACGACCTTCACTATCTTTCATTGCAATGAAATATGGGAATGTTGCTCTTTGACGGAAGCGGGATTAGAAAGTCATGATCTCCCTTTAACAAGAATGATATCAGAACAGCTTGCTCCTATTTGAACTGTGGAATTCACTTCTCTTTTACTATCCTTTGCTTGGCAAGGATGATATATACATTAAATGGAGAGAAGTCTGAGAGGTAGTTTTCCAAATGGATTAAAAAAATTCCCAGTTTATATGATGCATTGTATTTTCACTCCCTAGTTATATATACACTTACGATGTTTCTATTTAAACATTTTATAGCTTCCTCTTTTAAAGCACTCTTTGTTTTAGTAGCTATGTACCTTGAAGCCAAGATCTTACATTAAAATAGATTCTAATTAGAATTTTCTATTCAGAAAGGATGCTGAACACTTGCAGTTTCTCACAGAAATGAACAGGAAAATCTGTGTTTTTTCCTTTCGTTGGTGAAAATAGTAGTTATAAGCAAGCAAGAAAGAAAACCATGTGTTATCCCATCACCATGTAAGCGCAAGGCCCAGGCAGCTGACCCAGAACCCTGTCCTTCTACACAATTAGGAACATGGCTTGTGAAGTTTGAGGCAGCAACTGAGAGTGTGAACATGAACAGAGAATTGTCATTGCTTCTAACCCTTAAAGACACGGAAATCTAAAATGCCTTCACATCAAAAGCGTGAAAATTGCAGCCACTATCTCAATAAGCAAGGAGTTCAAATATGATTCTTGGCACTAAGTATATATTCACAAGGAAAATGAGTTAAGAAAGACAGTATGTAGTGTTATAAATCAGGAAAGCATAAAATTCAAAATATCATTGCAAATGTGGATCAATGAAAGTAATGATAATTTTAGGGAGAAGAAAAGAATTAATTATGAACTAGAATTTCTATTACTTCCTAACATGCATTTGAATCAAGCTAGCCCAGGGAAAGAGGGTAGAGAAACAACAGAAATTGCTTTCAACAATAGCAAATGAAGCATGCCCAAATTACAACCAGGAAATAGAAAGAACTGAGTATGTAAAGCTGGGAAGTCAGAGGGGGGTGCAATTCTAATAAGCTTAAATCAGAATAGCTTACATCACTTCTGAATGAAATAAACTTGAAGCTGATGCTCATAAAACCGATGTGGTGGATAATGAAGAGGAGAAATGATGCTCTCCAACCTTCATGGGGCAACAGAGCTACCATAAAGATTCTGCACCTTACTCTCTGATCCTCGCCATTATCTGGAGGAAAAAAAAAAAAAAGCCCAATTCTGCCTTTGCTCAGGGTGACTAATGCAGGATGCCAATAGCCTAATAGTCTCATGTGACAACGCTGTAGTGATTAGCTCCATGAGTATGCTGGGCAGTGACACCATGCAGAGCCTTGACACAATACGCTGGAATACTTGAAAATCAGGCTTAGGAGTTATTCACAATGGTTTCCAAGCACTGGTACACTTTCAAGAGGCAGAACTGCCACACTCATTATTTAGCCAGATATTTGTGGATTCCATATTTCTTCACCTCCATTGAAATTAAGAGTAAAAGCGAGAAAATGAAAAAGGATCAAGCACTAGAACGTAGGCCAGTTCCTCGGAAAGTAAAGGATCAAACAGGGGGAGGCCAGGAATCCTTCACTGCGTATCCATCCTCCTCCTAAAACTCCCTTCATAGCTTACAAAATTCTGTAAATCTTTACAAAATCTTTAGAAAATCTTACTGGAAATTGCTATATATAAGAATCTCCTTTGGCTAACGAGAGTGGAGCACTTGGACAGTGGATGGGTGTTTTAGATATAAGCAGATATTTCTGAAGACCTGGATACTTGGACCAGCATCTATTTTTTTCAGTAGTAGTGATTGGACCTAGGGCCTTGGCACTGAGCTTCATCCCCATCCCTTTTTTTTAACAATGTCTCACTAATTTGCTTAGTTGGCCAGGCTGGGCTCAAACTTATGATCGTCCTGCCTCGGCCTCCAGAGCTCTGCGATTACAAGCGTGTGCCACCGTGTCCAATTCCAAGAGGAGCGTGTTTGAAAGCCACCTCGAAGTCCCATTTTAATCACTCAGGTTTGCTTTTCAGTCTTTTGCTCGAAATTACAACCTCACAATGATTCCATGCATTTCTTAGTACAACCTCCCGGGAAAGATGCAATAATGAGAAAATGCCAGATATATCCCAAACTATCTGGGATGATATTAAAAATACTGAAATTCTAACAAGATTCTTTGGTCAATGGCCCAACTGCGCAGATAATCAGATATGCTTCGAGTCTATAGTCTCCTTCCTCCTTGACTTTGGAAATCTATATTTAACAATTGAATCAAGCTTAATAGTGAATGTTTATGTCAGGAAAGTCATACAAAAATGTAAGGAGAGATAATAATTATCATTTGCATGGCTTATACTGGGCTTAAAAGGTGCTGCATCTTTGAAAATGTCAGGATGCAGTAAAAATGGCCTGTGATTCAGATAAAATACAGGAGGGCGAGCTCTGGTGTCATCCCTAAAGGCTGAGTGGTTCTATACAAGTTGCCTTTTCACTCTGAATCTCAGCGGCCTTCAAGGATGATCTTTTCTGTACCTTCATAGATGGGCAAGAGGAAAACAAAGCTGTGGCCCTCTGTGAAAGATACCTATTTCTCTACCCACTTCATGTCTCACAAAATATAAAAGCAGTACTGACAAAGTCGTTGATCTCAACTTCTGGTTATCTACTAATCTGCTAACCCATTTAGATGACAGCATAAACACATACTGAAATTCACTTAGTTTCAAGCTTCAGAATGTTCTGGTGCTTACAGAATTTTAAATTTGGAGAGCCTTTATTCTATTCCATAATGGTAGGAATTAATTAATGAGCAATACTTTACAATGGACTGTCAATTCCCATGGAATTTAACCTCATTAAGTCTTAAAACTATTTGTAGATAGTGTTTGCCACTGTTACAATTTGAATCTAAAATATCCCACCACGTTCTCATGTGTGTGGAGGGCGACTGGGTCAGAGGTGCTCTGCTTCTCAGTGGATTCCCCCTTTCATGATGGGTTCAGAAGCCAGATGCGCTGTAAAAAGGTGAGGCCTGGTTGGAAGTGGGTCACTGGAGTGTTACCTAGAAGGGTGGATTTTGTCCCTGGCTTCTCCCCTGTCACTCTGCTTCCTGGCTGTCGTAGTTTGGGCATTTTTTCCTCCACTATGCCTCTCTTCCATGAGGTTTCTGCCTTACAGCCAGCTGACCATGGACTGAAACTGTGAGTTAAAACGAACCTCTCCTCCTTTAATTTGTTTGTGTTGCATTGTATCTCAGTGGTGAGAAAGTGCTAACAACCACCAGCATTGTCGTGGTCGTCACTAACGTAGGTGAAGGAATGCAATTTTCACCTGTTCACATTCCTCTGCAACTCTGTCTGTCATAGCGTCTATTACTGTAGGGGAGAAGCTCAGCCTCTGCAGGACTCTTAGTGATGAGCACGACTGATTGTTGATATACTTTTTTTTTCAATAATAAATCAGTTTTTCTTCGACTCACCTATACAAGTCCATGAAGTAAGAAAACTAACGCTCTTGGAAATGGGACCAGTTTAAGGAGAACTCGCTTAAGCCCAACTGTTCTCAGTGGAGCACAGAAGGAGTTGTGTTGCAAACGTGAACTTCTCTATGTGTCTGCTTATACTGTGAGTTCAAAGAGCTACCTGTGAAATATCTTGTCTTTAGCATGGAATAAAAAAAGTAAACAAGTTGTATTGCTTTTAAAATCGCTTTATGTCTTTCTTGTTTTTGTAACTGCTTCTCCTTACACATGGCATAAGGCACTTTAAAAATGGAAGGCTATATAGGTGAATACAAATAAAATAAGACATACAGTTTGTCAGAAGCAAGAAGTCAAAAGAATTTTTTGTCATCCAGCCATAATTAAAGTAATATAAAATCTGTTCCATTTAGTAAATTATTTGGCAATGATCAAAAACTTGAAAAATTAAAAAGATTTGTGTCCCAAGGAAAAAATATTGTAGATGTAGAAAACTTGAAAGCGTCTATATTGAAAGAGAAAATACTACACAATGTCCAGGTGTACTATGAAATTAGTTTTAAATATGTCAACCATTTTCTAAAGTTAATAAGACAAAAATTTACATTCCTTCTGATGACACAATTTATTGCCTCCGACATGTTCATGTGATCCTGAAAAAGGAACAATTAAGAAATGCATCAATCCAAGAACCGGTTCTTTCATTTTATACATCAAAGCCCTCATAATGCTTCAGTGGAATCTGCCCAAATCCAATACTTTTTTACTCTCAAAAGAGGAAACTGACTGATTACCCTTAAAAAGCTGAAACCTTATCTTGTTCATGAGGGTCAGCTGGAGCGATGTAGAAAATGAGAGGGCCGAAGGCAGAATCACAGTTTTTGTCAATAGAGATATCCAGCATTTTTCTAATTTTCAAGTTTTGTACAATGCATATTTATTTCTTTCCTGAGTGGAGAGCTCTATTTAAAATTGTCCACTCACCCAAAGACCACACTCTCCAAAGGCTAACCATGTTTCACATTGTCTGTTTTTCTGTAGCACTTTTAACCTCCCAATATACTCTTTCATGTGTCATATTTTGTGAGGTTTCGTTTTTGTTGTTTTGTTTTCTGCAACAGGTTCCCACTGTGTTGTCCAAGCTAGCCATGGACTACTGGGAACAAGTGATCACCTCCCCTCAACCCCGATGCAGCCTTCTAGGTATCTGTGCACCACCAGATCCAACTCTGTGTTTATCTTCATTTGTCTGGTTCCCTGACTAGGATGTAAACTTTGATAGAAATTAAAGGTCTCAAATCTATGACTTACTTTCTGCCTTAAGAATCTAGAACTATTAGAGGAAATTCAACTCAAAATAAGAAATAAAACATCAGTGCAGAAAATGAATTAATAGACAAGAGAAGAGCAGTAAAATAAATAAATAAATAAAAGTTAAAGAACTGGATATTTTAGAACATGAATAAAACTACTAAGAAAGATTAGAGGAAAAAAGAGATTAGACAGTTTCCAATAGATAGGTGCCATCTTTGCAGCTTTTATGGATTTAAAGGGATAACATAACATGAATGACAATGCATATGAATTTGACATCTTATATGAAATGGAAGAAATTCTTTGAAAAAATACTACCAAAGCTCACCCAAGAAGATAACCTGAGTAGCATTATATCTTTTAAAGAAATTTAATTCATATTTAAAATTCTTTACGCAAAGAAATTTGAAGGATAAAATGGCAAACATTTTCCAAACATTTAAGCAAGAAACACTATTAATTACATACAAGTTGTGAACAAAACTGGAGTTTATATTTTCCATCTGATGCTCACGTTACCCTGAAACAAAAAACAGAATGATATTATAAGAAAACTACACCTTATTAGCCCTTATGAACATAGATGCAAAAATTCTACACACATTATAGCAAGCCTAATACAGAAAAAGATAAGAGTGACACATCCCATGATTAAGTGCAGTTTCCTTATGGAGATGGGAAGGATTATGGGGTTGGGGGAAGATGGGAGGGGAGGAAGGAAAGGCAACATAAAAGGGATCAAGATGCTATGTGTATATTTACTAATTCCCCACAGGGAATGTGCTTATTATGTATCATAAACATATACTAATTTTAAAAGGTTTTTAAAAAGGTACACGAGTCTTATTAGCAGCTAATCATTGCCATTTATCTCAATAACAAAGAAGAAAGTTATACATATCATCACTTCGATAGAGGCAAAAGAAGCATTTGATAAACCCAAAATCAATTGCAGCATTAAAAACAAAACAACTTTCAGCAAACTAGGAATAGAAAGGAGCATTCTTAACCTGGTAAAGAGCATCTCTGAAAAAATCTCAGCTAATATTTTTTTGACAATAGTGGTAGTGGGGATTGAACCTATGGTCTCTGCACTGAGCTACATCCCTAGTCACCCCACCCCATGCACTTCTGGACTTTGAGACAACAGCTCACTAAACTGCTAAATTTCTCAGTCTGGGCTCAAACTCGTGATCCTCTTGCTGCAGATTTCTAGAGTTCTAGGAGTATTGAGATGTACAACCACAACTAGCTTATTTAACAGTAACTAACACATTGGATAGTAAAATGTATAATGGTTCTCCTAACATCATTAAAAAAAAAAAGCAAGAGAACCTAAATTCAGTATTTTTATTCAATTCTATACTCAAGAGTCTAGCCAGCCAGTTCTATTCAAAGGAAGGTAAGGAAGGCTATCTGCATTAGAAAAGATGCTGTAAAATACTTGTAAAATTAGAAAAGTTAATCTTCAAAGGATATGAAATATCAGCCAAATATTTAATAAGTGAGTAATTAGTGTACCAAGAAGAGAGAAAAGAAGAAATGTGACAGGAGAAATATTTAAAGTAATAACGAACTTCCAAATTGGGAAAAAATTAGATATATAAGTCCCACAAAATTACAGATAATATTTAATATAACAATACTTTTAAAACACACCTAAGTACATTACTCCCAAATTGCTGAAAGCAAGATATAAAAATGATATCCAAATTAGTCAGAAACATGTAAAATGAAGATAAAACAAAGATAAACTATCAATGGGGTCTCAAAGGAAATCAGAGACCAGAGGATTATGGAATAGAGAAAGCAACAACAACAACAATGGTCAATGTAGAATTATATACCCAGCAAATATATCCTTGAAAAGTCAGGATTATAACATTAAGTGAAAGAAATAAGACACACAAGCTTAAATATCTAATGGTTCCTCTTACATGATTAAACACAAAGCATAAATAAAGTGTAAAACAAAGATGGATAATAGGAAACAGGGAGATTGAATTTTTGCAAAAGGAGAGGGGTAAAGATGTAACAGGAGGCAAGAGGAAGGAAAGGAGAAGGAGATAAAAGAAAGATTAAGACATGTTATGCACATGTACTAACTCGCCATGATGAATGTAATCATTATGTACTGCCAACACATGTAAACAATAAATAAATAAATCAAACTAAATCCACTTTCAGGATCAAAGTCGAAAATGTATGGCCAATCTATCTGAACTATGCCAAATGACTCATGGAAGAAATACAACAGGTGGACACTCAGGTTCACTGGAAGAAAAGAAGAACCAGTGGAAATGACAAGTATATGTTTAAATATAAGCAATGTAGCTATCCTCTTAATTAAAAATATTTATTCAAGAGTTTATCTGGATTCTGCTTGTATTTTCCCAGAAGGTCTTCCTGCTATACTGCATGGCTGGGATACTGTGAGCTAAAGTCCACACTGTAAATTCCTGTATCTCTTGTTTATATAAAAATTCCCACTCTTCAGCTACAGTCACGGTGACGTTTATTTGGTGGTAATTCCCAAACAAACAGAACAAAGCAGCAAACCACCTTGTTATAGACTAATATTTAATATATACTAAGCAGCTTTATTCTTGAGATAAAAAGCGTTTATGCACAACAGTGTTATATTTTCTTGGTTTTTTCTCTTTGACAGCACAGATTTTCCAGAAAAGTTTCAAGATACTTTTTAGGGATCTTAAAAGAAAATAGCTATAAAGACCCAAAAGTACATGTCTGTCTGGTTTTTATGCTAACTGCTGCAATAAACATTGTCCTGAAACCTCCACACCCTAACACAAACAAGGTCATTTTCCCTGTCTCTTGGAGTCCAGTATTTTAAGGCAGAGAAGTGCTGTCCACTCTCTCAGGAAAACAGGCTATCTCTTTTGTTAGCAGCCAGAAACTTCCAAGATCACCCTCGACTTTCACACCTACCTGAAAAACGACATGGTGAAAGTGGATGGGGCAGGGGGGTGGTAATTGCTCTGTGTTCCACAGCATGAGGGTTTTTTTTTTTTTTTCCTTTGAGGAAACTAAGGCAGTGATGATGAACCTTTTAGACCTTTCCATGGAAAATAGCCGGCTGTGGCATGTAAGCCACAAGTTCACCACCACTGGACTAAGGAAAAGATACAAGAAAGCACAAGAAAAGTTTGTAACAAACAATGGAAGATGTTGAAATTTATAAGATGTTGTAGGCCAGATTTTCCATAATAATGCACTGTTTATGTCTTTCTTTCAAACTAGCAGTGCTTTCTGGATCCCATTTGCCTATATAATTGCAAGTGCTCATATATATCAGGTAAGCTAGCTGATAGAGAATTAGAGTGCTTGGAAGAAAGAGCATAACATGAACACAGTAATAAATGCAAGATACACTGGACCAGGTCTCAGACAAGAGAAGTAATAGAGAAGAAAACGAAGCTTACTAATAGCAATGCGGTCTCAGAGAAAGGAGACCCTTTCACTGGGCTAAAGATTATCTACTTTTTGAAAGTGAAGATTCAGTAGATTGTTTTTAAAATGTAAAGCGATTGGATTATATCATCTATTTTCAGTCTTAAAATTCTCTTTTTAACTGTCTTGCCCTCTAGGCACTGTCCTTTTGGTAGCCTCTGAAAGCGCAGGGAAAATCAAGACAATTAAGGGCTCCTTTTAAGATCTATTGGCTCATAAGAAGCCTGAGGTCATCTCTGCAAATCATACCTTCACGAGAATACCTACTGCCATCACCTTGACCAGTGACTGTGTTTTTAACAAACTCCTGCTTTATTCACAAGCTCATCTCCCCATTATTCCCCCCTCTGAAATCTCAGCCCCCAAACCAAGGTAGAAGTCATCGCTCTTCCTTTCCAATCCCATTTAACTTTGTCTTACCTTCTAGCATGGCAATCCCAATTTGTGTTTCTGCAGTTGGCCTAACGGACCTTTAATTCCAGTACCAACTTTATTTTCTTTGTGATTAGCACAGTGCCCAGTCTGCAGCATTCATTCAGCAAGTGGGCACTGAAAAGTCTAAAGTTGTGCTACATTGATTTGAAAGGTCTTGATCTGCATTTAGTCAAGTGGAGTTGAGTGCATGGAACAGAATGGATGGAAAAAATGGAATAAAACCCATTTGCCTAAGAAAAGGCTTCAGCTCAGCTTAGGGAGAGAGCTACTTTATACTAATGTACTTGCAGGGAGGTCACTGGAGATTTTGATTACTCCAGCAGAGAAACATTAAGATGACCAGAGAAAAATGGAAAGAGTGTTTCAATACTGTAGATGTGAATTAGTGACTAACATGATTCAGCATCAATAGTTTAAGATGATGATGTTTATAATTATATGCTTTTATGTAGAAAAGTCTCATAAGGTAAACACATACTGATTCTGTCTTGAGAAGTATGAATCTCAATATTTGATTAGATCAGTGCCTCAATATTTGGCAGAGTGGAAAAGTGATGAGAAATTTCTAATAAAATGCGGAAGAGGGGCCGAGGATATAGGTCAGGGGTACCGCACCTGCCTGGTAAGTGCAAGGTTCTGAGTTCAATCCCCGGTACCACAAAATAAAGACCATATCAAATCTACAGGAACATGTCGAGAAAGAAGGAATTATGGATTATATCAATGATGTATTACGTATTATATCAATGATAACGGCAGAAAAGCCAGGCATGCAGGTACACACCCATAATCCCAGGAATGTAGGAGACTGAGGCAAAGAATTGAAAGTTTGAACTCAGCCTAGGTAATATAGTGATTTAGCAAGACCTTATATTTCAATAAAAAATTTAAGAAAGGCCTGGGGATGTAGCTTAATGCAAAGGCCCTGGTTTTATTCCCCAGGAGAGAAGAAAGGCAGGAAATATAAAATAAAATGTTAAAGTAAGGGGCATTTTTGAATTCTCACTCTACCAAGCATTCTGGCTAATACATTTATCACTTAAATCCACTAAACACATAAATCTACTATTTCTTCCAATAATCTGGAAATTTTATAGAAGAAAAAATTAAGACTTCAGAAGGTTAGGAAATTTGTCCTGAATTATGCATCTGACAATTCAGACACAACTATGTTCAATTTTAGAACACATGTCAGAATAAGAAAACCCAATACAAGCTTTCATCTCTTTCCGTCCTGCTGTTATGAGGACAGCATTACTACAACATGACTTGTTTTGTGCAGTTTGCAGACACCTGGGTCTCTGCTCTGGCTCTTTGACGTTAACATCTCTTGCTACTTTTTGAAATCTTTTATTAGTTTTCTTATGTGTCTTTCCAGTACACAGCAAACCATTACAATGACATTATTATTATTATTAAATACTGTGGATTGAACCCGGACTTCACATCAAGTTACATCACCAGCACATTTTCTGTTTTTTATTTTGAGACAAGGTATCTCTTCCCTCTCTCTCTCTCTCTCTCTCTCTCTCTCTCTCTCTCTCTCTCTCTCTCACATCATTAGTAATGGCTACAAGTCTTCAAGTGACCGACTCCAGGGATGAGGCCAACAACATGGAGATGAGTCTGGAATACATCATGGTATTGGAAATTACAGATGTACTCCAAAGAGATGAGAGCTTGTGAAATAAAAACAGGCCCAAACTGAAGGAGGTCTCAAACCTGGAGCAATTTGAGTCATAATATGAGCAGCAGTAGGATTAGAGCTTAAACCACAGACTAAATATAAAATCAATAATAAATAAATAAGAAAGAAAGGGAAGTTCTTCCTCATAATAAAATTTTATTTAATAAACCGGGAAGAAAGGGGGAATTCTAAAACCACCATTAAGTACATGCCAACCACAGTACTGACGGTCACAGATGAGTTTCACTAGCAGGTGCTAAACACAGTGGATCACAGCTTGAGGAGAAACAATTTGCAGAGTCGTAAAGCAGCTTCCCCAAGTGTATTAGTTATGGCTCTCCAGAGGAAGGGTCAATACACAATACAGTTATGCAAACAGTTTGATTAGGAGGATCAGAAGCATGAGAGTCCTGGTGGCCATCTACAAGGTCAGAGGCAGAAGACTCCAAAATGGCCATCTGCGTGCTGAAGAGGTGGAGAATTCAGTACCAGTTGGAGATTCAAGGCCTGGAAGCTCAGCAGTGTGAATCTCTGTTAGAAGATTGAAGAGTCTGTGCTAGAAGGCTGGAGAAACTGGGGAACAATCTCCAAAAGTAATGGCAAGGACCATATCGCCTCTGAAAAGGGTCATTGCCTTCTTCTTTCTTGTTTTATTCTGCCAAAGCTACCATCCTCTTTGTTGGTGACATGCCTATCCAAGGTGAGTCTTCACCCTCAGCGTGCTGTCCTGTGTGTCAGTTACACACAAACACACCCAAAATTTTACTAGTCAGCTAAGTGGTCCTTCCTCAAATCAGTTGATATATCACCAATATCCATCACAACAAGTTCCTTAATTGCAACAAGAGAAGCTTCTAACTTTAGAGTGGAGTAAATTAATGGAGTCAATCATTGCCAAAGAGTCAAAGTAAACATCACTACTAACAAACATGCAAACATCATGAATTTCATGATATTATACACCCAAAACAACAGCACACTGAGAATCTTTTCTGATATTCTTGCTGAAGCCATGTAAGTCAGCCCACTGCTCAGAAAAATAGAGCAATTATAATTGTACATTCAGAAGAAGTCAAAAGGATATTATGTATTTCAGTCATATAATATCAATTTAAATTTCTTCAAATTAAGGAACATCTAAAAATAACTGATCAATAAACTAGAAAATGTTAAGTATCAATGAAAGACATGGAAAGATGACGGAGGAATTTTTAGAGACCGCAGGAGATAAAGATGTAGCAGCAACTAACCACAGAGTAAAATCCTGGGTAGCATCTTGGACCAGAAAGGTGAACATAAGAAGAAAAATGGATGAGATTCAAAATTAGTCCTTAGTGTAGTTAATGGGATCACATTGATGCTAGCATCCTCATTCTGAAAATTGCAGTATTGTTATGGAAGATGCTAGCACTGGCAGATGAGAGAGAAAAAACACCATTTCTGCAGCTTTTCTTATAAGTCTCAACTGAATGCAAAATTTAAAAAAAAAGTTAAAAAGTGACTGAACATACAAAAGAGAAATAATGCAGTTCGTTAGAAGTTGACTTAAGAACACACCCACAGAGGCTACTGGCAAAGATTCAGGAGGGTGATTGTTTCTTCCCTTCTCCTCCCTTCTTCCCTTGCTTCCTTCCTTTCCTCTTTCTTTCCTTCCTTCTTTTCTTCCATCTCTCCCTCTTTCCTTTTCCTTTTTCTCTCCCTCTCTTGCTTTTCCTATTTCTTTCTCCTTCTGCCGTTTTTCATGCTAGACCAGGAAAAATTTCCCCTAATAGAATCTTTGTATAATTCTCTGACTTTGTGACTTCATTATGCTGTCAAAACACTCATGATTAGAAGGAATGAAAAAAAAAATCTTTGCTTAAAATCAAGCCCAGGAGCAATTGGTTTCCATGTTTCCATTTGACAAATATGGTCTTTTTCTGGGGAACAGATTAAGTTCCACTTCAAGACTGTGGAGACAACTGTATTCAATAGCTGTTTCCTTCGGCTAAGCAGAGAAAAAGAAGGAAGAATATAATAATTAAAAGATATTTAGGATCAGGAGAAGACTTACAAGAAAGGAAAGAGAGAAAACTGATAATTTTTTTTTCAGAAAACACTTATGTTGCAATACTTGCTTAAGACAAAATGAACAATTCACAACCCCATTATAGATTTGTTTCATTCTGGGAGAAGATGGGTCTTGAAAGTGCAGAGTTTCTGAAATATATTATCACTGATTGTTTTGATATCCTTAACTTAAAAAATTTAGGACAACATCCACTAGTCTTTATATGTGTTGGAATTTGGGGGCCTTGTGGGAAACAGAGCCAAATACTGAAGTCAATTCTCTGTCTATTCTTACCCCCTTGTAAAATTTTCCAACCAAATCATGGTTACCACCACTATCATAAAAACAAGACTGTATATATCATTACCTCACTGCCCACTGTGCTCTAGCTACAATTAGATAAGCACAGCAATGCTGTGATCTTTGACAAAGGGGTGGGGGAAATTGTTTTGTGTCCTGAACAGGAAGGAGAATCTTTTGCCAAATGGAATATTAAGGAAGCAGTAATCTATCATCTCATATAATTATGGGGTAATGTCAGGCATTTATCATGAAAGTACACAGACTAGAGAAAGTAATTAATAAACAATGATTTAAAAGTCATGTGTTATGCAGTATGGGGAAAGCATTGTGCAGATTACTGAACACCCCATGCCCTTAGACAAGTTAGGCTTTTCAAATTACCTTCCCTTGAAAGTTAGGAAGCTTAAATATTTGGCTAAATTTTGCCCCTGCCTAAAAATCTGTGCAATTTCAATAGGTCTATTGAATTTGACTCTATTTTTAGTGATAAATTTCTAAATTTAAAGTACTAAATACTTTCAAAAAGTTTTTCTTATGTCTGTATTTAGTTCACATATTTTTTTTCTCTAATCAAATCATATTGAGAAATGTTATTTTTAAATATATGTCTACAGGGTGTACATATATAGTACATGTAGTGAAGTATTCTGAAGTGTATGAATTATATATTTAGAGTTTATTCTTCAAGATCAGAAATCACAGTTCATGCTAAGCTTTGTTAAGATGAAAGATGAACAGAAAAAGCTCATACCTCAAATCTCTAATCTGGGTTTGCATCTTACCATATCTAAGAAAAACATCCTAAAGTTATTAAAATTAACTTTATTTTGCAAATCAGTGGACAAGTACCCCATGTACCCTTTCTTGAAAATAAAATTGCAAAGTGGACCTACTTCTCCTGGTCCTTCTCCTATGATTCTCACAATGCCCTAGGCTTCTCTCTGATCCACATGCACTTCACCAAGTGATTATTTCTGGGTTTGTCCCTGGTATGTGCTTTCATCATGTTGGGTGAGGTGACAGACACGTAGGTAACTGACTTTGGAATAAAGATTTCTTTCTGCCATTTTCTGAGAGAAAGGGGCTTGCATACCAGGAAGG